CCGAGGCCGCGGGGAAGGCCTCCGCGTGCCCCGCCGACAGCCGCGGAGTCCGGGGCGACGGTCTGGCCCAAGCGGCTCAGGTGGCTGCCTGGTGCGCTACGCGGCGCGAGGACCCGGCCCTCGCCTCCCGGATTCTGTTGCAAAGAAAACTGGGAACCACTGGGGTGGCGCACTGTCTCGCCCGGGCCTGATGACACCTTTTGCATGGAGCCGGGGCTGGGCTGGGGCCCCCGCAGGCCGGAGCGCCTGCTGCGCCTAGCTCTCGGTGCGGGAGCTGCTCCTTCAGATCCCCCTGATAAGACGCACTTCGGAGAAATGAGCAGGCGGCACGTGGTGCTGCTTCTCAGGGCTGCTTTGGGCCCGGCGTTTGTTGAGGTCTCAGACCTAGGCTAGAAATTGTCTCCTTTTATAATCATCTTTGAGTGATTTTTTTTTTTTTCTGCCAGACTGAGAAATAGAGTGACTCTTGGGATACTGATGGGGAGTCAAATCTCAACCTTTCCAAGGCTAGTGGATGGGTCTGTGTACAGGCAGGCGAGGTCGATCTGGTTAGACCCCTTTTGAAACACGATTGTCTTTTTATTTGGGGGGGGGGGGGCAGGGTCTCCGTCTGTAGTCCAGGCTGGTCTTAAACGAGATTCTTCTGCCTCAGCCTGGTGGGGTTGCAGACCCGAGTCACCACGTGCTTTTGGAAGGTTATTTTAATAACGGTTTCAATGAAGGTATGATGTGGGATTTGAACCTCGAAACCTTTTAAAATGAAAGGTTAGACCCTCGGAGAAACTGCATTTCTGTTAAATATGTGGTGTTTCCTAGATCAAACCAGAACTTTGCCTGTTTGACCTTTTCCCTCCTTTTGTAAATTTACCTTTGTATTTGGTGTCGTTCTTTTCAATAGAAAGGGAATTCGCAATTGTTGGATAATATTTTTTGGCAAATATGCCATTCAGAGTTTTTATTAGTTTTTAAGCTGTAGACAGATCTTCACTACACAGCCCTTGACTGACTTGAATTTCACTCAACTGCCTGCCTCTGCCTCCAAGGTCCTGGAGGTTCTGGCATTCCTGGCCACACCTGGCTCTATTCCGACCTTAAATCCCTTCCCCAACACCCCCAGTCAGGCTTTCTCTGTGTAGCTTTGGAGCCTGTCCTGGAACTCTGTAGCCAAGGCTGGCCTCGAACTCACAGCGATCTGCCTGGCTCTGCCTCCGCCTCCCAGGTGCTGGGATTAAAGGCGTGTGCCACCACCGCCTGGCCAAAAAATTTTTTTAATTTTTTAAAATTTTGTGTGAATGAATGTGCCTTTCTGGTGCCAACTGAAATGAGAAAGAGGACTTTGGAGCTCCTGGAACTGGTATTAGAATGGTTGTTAGGCTCTGTGTGTGAGAGTCCTCTGCTAGAGCAACTAACGGCTTTAAACCCTGGAGTCATCTGTCCAGCCTCTCCTCAGAGGTTTTAAGAAATTTCAGCCTCTTGCTCAACTCAGATACACACCCCTTTAGTCTCAGCACTAGGGTGGTAGACGCAGGCAGAGCTCTATGAGTTCGAGGCCAGCCTGTTCTACATAGTGTGTGTCCAGGACATCGAGGGCTGCATAGTGAGACCTTGTCTCCAAACAAACAAACAAACAAAAAATCCTGGTTGACTGCCTTGTTTTTTACTTTGGAATTAGCCTGTAGGGTTCATTCTGAACTTAGCTATAATGTAATGCTTTTTTGGATTTTGAGATGAACTGAACATGTTTAAGCATAATTCACTTTTTCGGTCACCAGTCCAATGTCAAGTTGATGGAAGTGCCAGTGGTGTTTTGTAAACTTGGAATTTGTCTTGGGTTCATTGTCCTGGCATTTAGTTTTGCAGGAGGACAGCATTTGCACATCTTCAGGAGTCAGACGGGCAGATCTCGCTAAACATAATGTTAGCGTTAGGGTCGTCTAGTGGCAGAGAGGGGGAAAGGTGATAGTTTGAGTCCTGTTTTAGTTGTAAAAGAATAGTAGAGGAATAGTTGTGTAAGGTTGAGCACGCCTGTAACCCCAGGATGGTAGAAATGGTAGAAGTGGAGGCAGGAGGATCAGGCGAACAAGGTTGGGTTACTTAGCAAGTTTCAGGCCAGCTGGGCTATGAGAGTCCCCCCTCTCTCTCTCTCTCTCTCTCTCTCTCTCTCTCTCTCTCTCTCTCACACACACACACACACACACACACACACACACACACACACACAAAACAAAGCAGGATTTCACTCTTGGATCTGTCTTGTTTTGAGTATTTTAACAATTAATTAAATTAGTTCATTCATGAAATACTGGCAGTTTACCATGTGCTGGCCTCCATGATATGTAAACTGGGTGGTTTTTGTTTAGATGTTTTTGGAATCACTATATAGTCCAGGTTAGCCTTAGACACTCAGTTTTCCTGCCCCAGCTTCTCAGGGACTGGGATTTTAGCGGGGAGCCTCCATATTCTAATACTCTAGGTTTTTGTTGAAGAAGCTTCCACAGGTTCATTTAAGGGTCAGTTTTCAGTGGATTTGCAGCTGTTACAGGTTAACTCTTTCATATAGATTGTAGCCATGTTTTGAACAGTGTGTTTGAACCCTGTTCTGTGGATTGAAGGGCAACAGTGAAGAACTTGGAAACACTGCAGGAAGTGTTCCTGTTCCCCAGCTGAACCAGTTCAGAGGAGGAGCTCTCACCTGGAGGAGGAAGTGAATCTGGCATGCATGCTGTCAGAACTGGCTCAGTGAGCTGAGGGGATTAAGTTGAAGCTACCAATATGCTTTGTTTTGGAAGAAAAGTCCATGTTGATTCCAGTGTTGTTTCTGTACCCAGGCTGGTGAGCTTGCTGTTGGTTTCTGTTCTCCTTTACACAGACCCCCACATCTTTCATGTTGGAATTTCTTGGATGTAGTTTATAGCACATGACAGAATGTTAAACTGTCATGGATGTCATTTGTAACTGATGGCTAGATTAGGGTAATTTTTAAAAGGATATTTTTACTTTTTTTAAATACAATGTTGCATTATGTAGCCTGTAATCCTCTGGAACTTATTATGTAGCAGTGGTAGTTGCAGACTTCAGACTTGTAGAACTCCTACTTCAGTCTCCTGAGCTACCTCCTTGGCTATGAGATCAGAATCAGAATCTTACAGGGCGTATGCAACTGAAATAAATAACAGTTTTTTTTGTTTGTTTGTTTTGTTTTTTTGTTTTTTTTTGTTTTTGGTTTTTCGAGACAGGGTTTCTCTGTGTAGCTTTGCGCCATTCCTGGAACTCACTTGGTAGCCCAGGCAAGCCTTGAACTCACAGAGATCCGCCTGGCTCTGCCTCCCGAGTGCTGGGATTAAAGGTGTGCGCCACCAACGCCCGGCATAAATAACAGTTTTGAAGTGATCACAGAGTATTTGAGGAACTTTTTTTTGCATAACAGCAGTAAACATATCAGTCAATCTTGAGACTGTGTATGCAGTGAGAAGTCCAGGAGCTGGTAGTCTGCTGAGTGCATATTGCTATGTTTAGGGCCTCTTGTCCTTTCAGTTCACTCTGTTGGGAACTCAGCACAGAAAGTCAGTGGATGGTAAGTGTGCAGACTGCATTCTGGATTCTTCTCTAGGGCTAACATTAGGATAAGTATTTCAGTTTATGTTATGTGGAAGTAGAATGATTTGAACAGTGGCGCACACAGGAAAATTGAAAGGAGAAAGATGCCATAATTTGGTAACTGCCTCCTGCAGGCTAGATTGTCAAGAATGGGGAACAATTGTTACTTCACTTGGATGAGGTACAATCAAGTCATTTTTAGTTTTGCAAATTATAGGTGTGTAAGTACTTCTGAGCAATGAATCAAGTTTTCAAGGTATACTAGATGTGACTGGGGAACACTTCTCACTGATAACTTACCAAAGTATGGGAAATGGTTAGCAGAGCTTGCTTTTCAATTTATAATTAGGCTAGTGCATTGCAGTCAACTGGTACACATGAAGAATCACTGTTGCAGAGCAGACACATGCGTCTGCAGTGGAATTTGTTGGCCATGGGATGTTGGATTAGTGTCATTTGTCTCTTAGTGCCACTTCAGCAGGGTACTATTCATTTCTAAGACTTGCATGTGCTTGGACTGCAGTTTTTCTTTCTGTGGAAGTGATCTCCTAAAAGGCCTTGTGTGACCATCCTGTCGCGACAGGCTGGATTAAGAACTAGTGTTGGGGATTGGAGAGATGGCTCTGTGGTTAAGAGCATTTCTTGCTCTTGCAGAGGACCTGGGTTTAATCTTGAATGGTGGCTCACAGTGTTGCCTGTAACTCCAGTCCCTGGATATTTGACACCCTTTCTGGCATTCTCAGGCACTGAATGCACACAATATCCAGACATACATGCAAGCAAAACACCCATATTCATAAAATTGAAAGAAAAAAAAAGTAAATGGATAAAGCTTGGTGGTGCACAAGTTACCCCAGGACATGGGGGCTGAGCATGGTTGGGAATTTGAAGCCAGTATAGGCTACATAGCAAAATCCTGTCTGAAAAAAATAAAAAAGAATGAACATAAATTGGAACATAAAGGTAGCCCACATGGCATGTTTGTTTGTTTCAAAGATCAGAAAATGTATGATTTATAGTAAGTCTGAGTGTGGCTCTTCAGATTATAGATGTTCATGAGCTGGTTATTTTCTTAGTATTGAGAAACTCTTTGGCAGTGATCCAGTTTTCATTGGAAGACCTAGAAAATCAGAAGCTGCCCACTCCTGTTCCTCCCATCTCAACACCTATTGTTATCTCAATTACTCTGTCCTGGGTACAGGGCAGGTGAGCTGTTGGGATAGAAGAGGAATTTTGGACTGG